CTCGGAAGACCAAAGGATTGCTTTGACCTCCACTCCGATCGATCAAGGTCTATTTTTTGCACACCTCGCTTGTTGAAGGAAAAGCAAAGGGCATCGCTACCAGTAGCTCCTGGCATTACTACTAGGAACAAGAAGCTACTAGTAACAAGGGTCAGAGTCCTTGGAACTCCTTGTGGTCCAGTCCAGTCATGCCATGCGGCGCCACGACGAAACCCGGGTCGACTGACAGCACGAGCCACTGACCAGCGGCTTTTGCAAATGGACCTACTCGACGAAAAAGACATGTTGGCGATGTTGGCTTCGTTGGGGTAGGGAAAGGTGAGTAGCAGCACGTGCCAGCTTATAAATTATACTGGTACAGATAGAATAGGGATGTATTGTAGGGAGTGTCGGTGTATTTAAAAATCACACATCAACTAGGAGTTGCTGGTGCTTGGACTCAGCGGGTATCCTACATACAATCTGGAGTGACCAGGTGGGATGAGGCCCGCGCTTCGGGAAGACTCCAATCGTGCACTCCATCGTGATTGGGCAGAACAGACCAGTCTTTCGTTGGGATGAGAAGCGGATTTCCCAAAGTACGCGAATGTGTTCATCTTCAGTTCACAGGACCTAAAGTACGCATGTTTCACCAAACATGTTGAGCACGACCAGGGGCTTCATGACTTTAGTATATTCCTCTTGGCTACCAGTACTTGCTCTTCTGAACTCGTCCATCGCAGTTGGGAGTGAAACATAATATGAAGTACTTGGTTCAAAGCACATGTTCTTCTCCTGTTCACTCCGCAAGTTCACAATATTGTCCCGGCACAGGCTTAAAGCAGCGGAAGAACATCAAGAAGGGCAAGAAGGGCTGACGTGAACAGCAGAAGCACCGGTGGCAGGTCGGGCCAGTCTCACCCAGACGTCGCCTGATCCGGGCGCCATCAGAAAAAGAAAAGGAAACGCCACCAGTGACATGTGACATGCCAAATGGATGGTCGTTCGTCAAAAAGAGGAAGGAATGCATGTCTAGGATATCAGGTGGCATCGTTTAAAGGTGGCCTAAAGAAGAAATGAGAACCATTTCGTGTGGAGAGGTGGTCCTCTGAATGTCGTCGGACAAACAATTGGGTAAGTCACCCGTGCCGCACCAAGGGCAATGTTTCTGTCGCACAGGGCGCTAAGGGCGCCACCAACTGCGAGGGGCGGGTGGTGGGCCAAACCCGCCGCCGAGACGGACGTTTTGGTGCACTGACATGGCGACGCGACGCCCGAAACCTGATACAGATCGCGGGCACCCGCAAGTGTTCAATTTCCTTTAACTTTGTTGAAGCAGCTTGTAACTGCCGATCCAATACATGTTCAGAGGCTCTTGAGCTTCAATACACAAAGAATAAACAACGGAGTTTACAATGAGTGGTAGCCGAAACCCACGCGATCGGCTTTATCATGTCACTCTTCATTGGGAAAGCATTCATTGCCACAACACCCACACAAACAATGTACAGAATTATAGTGTTTGAATCCAGCAGCAGACGTATCTAAAATGGAGGTAGAGACAATATTTAATCGATTCAATATATATCATTCGCCCCAACAATGGTCTGTGCATGAGTGTTTGGTGTTCCCCAAAGAGACGCACACAATCATGGAGGAGTTGGACATGTTCTTCACAAAAGAAACCCAACAGCCTGTACGGACCCTGCCGGCCATTTACGTCGCGGACGTGTCCCACTTGAGCAGAGGCGCCGGGCTGCGCCGGGCCGAGCCGTGTCCGCGCGGCAGACGGTTCTCTATTCAAGCCTTGGGATTGCAGCCAATTCGATCTCCTTTTCCCAGCTTGGACATTGAGATGACAATGGATCACATGCTTTTCGCCCACTCGTTTTCGTTTAGAGGCATGTTTGTTCCGCCGTTGGCCTGTCAATTCACACCAAGTATTTGCAGTATACATAGGAGGTGAATGCCATGGCCCCTGGCACGAGGATTACTATATATCACTATATATATTAAAGACTCATCTAAGAGTCTAAGACCCCAAACAAACATTTGCAATCCTGAAAAATCCCCAAACCGAGTCACTGGAGCTTCCTTCCACTCCAGACGCGCTGCCGCACCGGCTTGCATGGCTCCGGGGGCCGAGGGCGTCTGGAGACCTGGTTTTTGACCTACGGACTTGCAACGGCAAGGGCGTAGGACCTGGGGACATGGAGGTGATGACATGGGCGTTGCATACTCATTAGCTACGGTTAGTTCGTCTGGTGAGTTGGTTCATTCGACAGTTAGTTGTTTAATTGGTATGTTTGTGTGTTTGTTAGACAGTTGGTTAGTTAGCTAGCTAGTTAGTTAGTTGGGTTGAGTCAAGTTTCTAGAGGTTTCTGGGTGTTTTGGGATTTTGCCTTGGGTGGGCCCTGACAGGCACGTTTGGACAAGAGCCGTCAAACACATGGTAGAATCTTTCATCCACATGGAAGGCAAACCGGTGCACTTCCGCAGTCAAACGGGGAATGCCAGTTACATGCTTTTAATGTGGAGCTGACCACTACAATGTTTTTAAGTTATAGTTATAGTTATAAGATGTTATAAGTTTTGCAAGCTAAGGCCACCCTACATGTGTGTGCGTGTGCGCGTGTGTGATTTGGAGTGTTTCTTGTGAGTTGTTCATTTTGAGTGACATCATGTGTGATTCCGATTTCGCTTCCGATTTCGCTGGTTCAAACTTCGCAACAAAGTCAAATGCATAATCCAGTTGAGACGCTTTCAGCCCAGTGCAGGTTTTTGCAGTTTGAGCACCTCAATGATAAACACCGGCATTCCACCAGCAGGCCATTGACGCAGGGTCAACGAAGCCTTTCCTTGCCCCTTAGGCCTTTAGGGCAAAGCTCTCCACAAAAGATATTGTTGAGCATCCACATCGCTTCAGTCAGCTTCTCAACTGGTTTCATCATGTGTTGTCCCTGTCAAATTCATGATCGCCGAAATCGGAAGACACGCTGTTTGAATTCCATGAACCCAAAGACCCCTCTCTCTCCAAACTCCAGCCAGTCACTCCTTAACCCACCACACCACACCACAACACTACACTGAAACCCACCCTTGGCCCCAACGGAAGGTCCCCACCCCACCGGGGCCCTGGGTGTGCCACGGACCGGACTCTACGGACCGGACCCGTGGTGGTGGAACAGCGCGCGCCGCACATGGAGCAGCGCTGGCCCTGGCCACAGGGCTTGGTGCGGAACATTTGCCCCTCGGTGGGTGGGTGGAGTGAGATGGGAGGGAGGCTCAGGGCTCAGAGTTGGTTGGAAGAGGTTGGAAGGCACATGGGCGGCAGCCATCAACAGCAGTGGCAGTAACGGTAACGGACATCACTTGATGGAACTACTCTAACATGAAGAAGAAGAGATTTCAAAGGTATGGTACTGTTTTGTTTTTCTGGCGGCTTTTCCCCCAAACAATGACGATCCTTCGGACTCGTCGGAAGTTACCCCAGCGCTGGTCATTTCTTCCAGTCATTCCAGTCGACGAGTGTTTCGCCCCCAGCTGACCTGTGGTGGGATGCTCAAGGATGCTGATTTTTTTTGGTCGGGTGTTTTTGTATCTGCTGGGAATATCCAAAAGTCATTGCCCTTTGTTTTGCTTTGTTTTGAAAGGAGTTCATGGATCTGTATGTATTTGACCCATATTTATCCATTGCGTTGGCAGAAGCGGGTTGCGACTTTTGCGCGAAGACACGAGGACACGCGAAGACACGAAGACACGAAGAGGCTTCAGGTCTTCAAGGCTTCAGGTCGTCAGAAGGCTTCGGGTCGTCAGAAGGCTTCGGGTCGTCAGGAGGCTTCAGGTCGTCAGAA